TGTCATGATGATCGTTGATTATATTAAATGAGAGTGTCTCTTAGCTTTTAATGGTGAGTGCTTTAACTGATCCAACGCCTCTCTCTCCAGGCGTCCCCTTCCATGGGCGAGGACTGAGAAGAACAAGGTGTTTTAGATAATCCATGATGTAGGCCTCATATGTACACCCGACACGAGACAATCTACATAGCCAACTCTCATTCAATGACATTTTCCCAAATAACTTCCTCTTCTTGAGTAACACCCTCATCCATAATGCATTTTGTTATTTCCATCTGCATGACTTACCGTTGGTTCGAAATGCAGAATGTTGTATCATGTGATGGTCTTAAAACCCAAATTGCCTATGAGAACGATGGAGGTGTACTTAGCAAACACACCCTTTTATGCTAGGAAGAAATTAAAAGTTGACACAATTTTGTGCGAAAGTCCACTAATAACAAGATGTGGTTCCAAAATGGTACACTTGGCATTGGCGCGTGTGTAACAGCCCGGTCCCAACTCAATCGGTAGTGGGAATGAATTGAACATGTACTTGAACTCCAAGGTACATGATTAGATTCTCACGAAAGACAAAAACTTTACTAGAGAGAGGGGTAGAGAAGATCACGAGGTAGTAGTGCCGAGAGCGTCTTGCGAGAGGCCCGAACTATTACAACGTGGATCCCCTATGTGTGCTTGCTAGCATGTGTCTGGGTAAATCCACTCTTATCAAATTGTCGTTTCTTGAAAACCGCGTCAAAAATTGATTGGATAAAGATTTCTCTTGACCATATATTTTTATTGCCATAATTTTATCCCGATTGTAAAACTATATTGACGAGATACACATAATAAAGCTACTCCCTCTGCCCTAAAATAAATATTATATTTGCAAGCAATATTTATCCCAAAATAATTATGGCTTTAAGTTTACAAGCAATTTTAATTTTTATCTTCCAATTATACTTTTCATTGATACTTTTAATTTACTATTTCTTTCACATTACATTAATGCTAATTAAAATCTACGAAAAATAATTTAATAAAATTATTATTATCTCTGATTCATTTATCATATTTTCTTAATAGGTACGCAATTGTCAAATATCACATTTATTTTGACACAAAGGGAATAGAAAATACATAGAAAGGAAAAGTTATATCGTTAGTCAATGCATCCACTAAAGAAAAATAAAAAACGAGGAGATATAATAATCTGAAAGCACCTCGCAAACGTTGATCTCAGACACTGATTCTTGTTGTCGCGTTACATTCGATTATGCTACATACTTACATCATCTTCATGCTCCTCCGCAATCGAATTTTCAATTTTACCTAAGTTGTTGTTCTTGTTGTGTTCCGATTGGAATCTGGATCGGATCGGATCGGATCGGGTGATCCAGCATGTCCAAGTCTCTGCCCTACTCCAGAAAAGATGTTGACTACGATAACGCCAAGTTTCGTCACCGTTCTTTCTTCAAGGTTTGCTTCAATAATCACTCTTCAATTTGTTTAACACGGTTTCTGTTTCTGTTTCTGTTATACTGAATGCTCATGTGTTGTTAGTTTGAGTGGTGATTTATTCGGAATATTTATCCTTCTTGAGTTAAATAACTATGTTTTATGTTGTTTATTGAAAAGTAAAAGAAAAGAGGCAAACGTTTGCTACTTTTTTGTTTTCCAGGTTATTACACAGACCTTCCTCACCAGTAACCGAAAGCGTGATTGTATTAGCTGTAGTACTGGGAAGTTTCTGTTCTTGATATTGATCTTTGGTGTAGTATACGTTGGGCTGACACATAACCCAATTCCAAGTCGTGTAGTTTCTCGAGATCAAGTATTTGGAATTGGAAAGAATGAAGAAAGTAACAGCAGTACTAATAATGGTGTCGAAAGATTAAAGAAGTTCTGGAGACGGGCGCCAAGGCTTCCTCCTCAATTACCACCCGATACTAAACGGAATAGTAATGGTATTGATCATGTACCTACTGCTCTAGATGTCAAAGCATTGTGGATTGCTAGGCAACAAAAAGTTAAAGAAGCTTTTACTCATGCGTGGTCGGGCTACAAAAAATATGCAATGGGTTATGATGAACTTATGCCAGTTAGCCAACTTGGAACTGATGGATTGGGGGGATTAGGGGCAACAGTAGTGGATGCTCTTGATACAGCTATGATTATGGGTATTGATGAAGTCGTTGCTGAAGCGGGATCCTGGGTTGAAGAAAACCTTTCCGAGAGAATTAGCAAAAAAGGCCAAGTAAATTTATTTGAAACTACAATACGGGTTTTGGGCGGGCTTTTAAGCGCATATCATCTAAGTGGAGGGGAAAAAGGAATGAACGTAACTCATGCCGGACCTAAACCGGCTGTTTATCTAGAAACTGCTAAGAATTTGGGTGACCGTCTGCTATCTGCTTTCACTTCCAGTCCGACTCCCATTCCATTTAGTGACGTTATTCTGCATGATTCTTCATCACATCCAGCTCCTGGTGGATTGAGTAGCACGTCTGAAGTTTCCACGTTGCAGCTCGAGTTCAATTATCTCAGTTATGTATCTGGTGATCAGAAATATAGTTTGGAGGCAATGAAAGTCATGGATCACATAAAGACTCTTCCAAAGGTTGAAGGACTAGTTCCTATCTACATTAGGTTTGTGTTCAATTGCTTCTTTATTGCTTTAGTTTATTTTGTCGCTTTCTGGTGTGGATCTTCCTTTTCTTTCTCATTATATTTCTACTAACATTTAGATATTTCTATAAACTAAATGCAGCCCTCATTCTGGTGAGTTTAGTGGAGAAAACATTAGACTGGGTTCTCGTGGTGACAGTTATTATGAGTATTTACTTAAAGTATGGCTTCAGAGTGGAACTAGTAGAGATAATAACAGTACATCATATTTATACGAGATGTATAAGGAAGCAATGAACGGTGTTAGGCATCGTCTTGTTCAGAAATCTGTTCCAAATGAACTAGTTTTTGTTGGAGAATTGCCTTCTGGACCAAATGGTGGTTTCAGCCCAAAAATGGATCACCTGGTTGGTATTTCCTAATTTCAAAGTTTGTTATTGCATGAAATTTGTTTAGTGCTTTTGCTGATTGAACATATAATTGAGTAGAAATAGAGCAAAAGAACTGACAGTTTTGCATGAAGGACTTGTTATGTATTTATCTGATTATCCTGAACTGGAATGTTTTTTTTTTCTTTAGAAGTTATCGATTTGTATTTATGTTCATGAAGTATCAGTTTCAGAGTTGTTTTTGCCTCTAATATCATGATATTCTCAACCTATGGGATGGCTTTTAAACCACGGACATAGCAGAGACTTACTTCTGTCACTGTACTGTAGTTTATTATATGCCCAAATAATGCTATTTCATGCTCCATTTCGTCCATGGTTTAAACTTCATGCCATAGACACTTGAAATGTCTCAATAATATGTTTTACGCGCGAGGAACTGAATTTTATAGTTATGGGAAAGCATTTTGGTTATTTACAAATTAAGCACCAACTTGCATTACGTTTTGTCACATAAGTGTATCATGTTTTATCTTTTAAAAGTCTTTATCTTTCTCTTCTCCTTCTTTTATCTAAAACCCATAACTTCAACAATAACTAAGAGGTACCTGGCTAGCATTGACATTGATCTACTAACATTGAGGTAAACTTTGATGCTGTCTGCTCAGGTGTGTTTCTTATCTGGAACTCTTGCACTTGGTGCCACTAAAGGCCTTACAAAGAAACAAGCAATGGAAAACAATATGCTTAACTTTGAAGACCTAGAAAACTTGAAGCTTGCGGAAGATTTAGCTAAAACATGCTTTGAGATGTACTCAGTGACTTCAACTGGTCTGGCTCCTGAAATTGCTTACTTTCATACCCAGGTTAGTTGGACTTCTATGACATTTTGGACTCATTAAATTATAATATTTCACATTCGAAATCAGCATCGAATTTCATTATACTGATTTCCTCTTCTCAATGATGCTGCTCACGATTTTATTTTCTTGTGCTGCATTATATATTGTGTATGCTTTTGATACTCAGGAATTTTCTGAACAAGGTCATGAAGGAGGAAATAAGAGCTCAGAATATATTAATGACATCATAATAAGACCTGCCGACCGGCATAATCTCTTGAGACCTGAGACAGTGGAGTCGTTATTTGTTTTGTACCGTATTACAGAAGATCTAAAGTAAGCTTTCCCCCTCTTATGTATAAAGATTACTTCAATGTTTTTATTTCTTGTTACACAAGAAACAGCAAATACTGGCTTAGTTTTCTTTTTTGATATTTTTCTAAAATAATGAAATATGTATATATTGTTTTACAGATATCGTGAATGGGGTTGGGAAATCTTTGAAGCCTTTGAAAAGTACACAAAGGTTGATACTGGTGGATATAGTTCTTTGGATGACGTAACTACTATTCCTCCTCCTAGAAGAGATAAAATGGAGACTTTCTTTCTAGGAGAAACACTTAAGTATTTATACTTGCTTTTTGGGGACAGCTCCCATATTCCATTGGACAAATTTGTTTTTAACACAGAAGCACATCCTATACCAATCAATTTGAAGAAATGAGTTATATCCATTAAAGGCATTTGATAGACGGTTTTTAGAAATCCAGATCGTGTTGGCACAATGTGAAATGCTTCTTTGAAGTTACTATGGCATCTCTGACTCTGAGCAAGAGTGGTTCTGGTTGTAAAGGAGTGAAATAGCTTGGATCTCAAGGAAAATAGAAACTATTCAATATTGTTTAAAACATACATTACATCATTAGCAAACATGCTGCAGAGGCTGTCCCTCAATTATATGACTATTTTTTTCCTTGGATTCACAACTAGACTTCTTGATGAGACTGTAAATTTTGTTTCAACAATCATAAACCAAGAGCACCTTTTGTAATTGATTTGTATGATTTTCCAATATCTTGCTGGAATAGTTGATTATACCATTGTCATTATGTTCCTAAAGGTACTACTTATCTTCCTATATACATTGTTAACGTCGTCATGTACTCAAATTGTCACTATCGCTGCCTAGAAGAAAGAGATGGTCACCATCTCGAATGACATCAATGTCGTCTATCTCTGCATTCTCTTCATTAGTTACTTTTGTGGCTTTGAAGCCACCGAATTTTTCACCTGCAATTTTGCAAGTTAATAGTTAGAAGTAAGAAGTAAGAGTTGTACAGAGCTTTACTTTCTTCTGTGTTCAGGATATTTTATTTGATTTTGGCAGCATCTCTCTTCCCAACCCCCAGCAAAAATCATAAAAAGAAAGGAAAAAACCCGGATATCACTCTTTCTATTCTCTCCCGCATGCATGTGTGTGTGTTTGCCTAAGTACTGCTCCTCAGTTATAGGTTCATAAATCACGACCATTTAATCTTTTCTGGGACTTGCGTGCAATGCTTACCAGCAATTTTGAGCAACTCTTCTAATGAATCAGGTAGGATTATCAGTTTTCCGTGTTGTTCATGCGAGCTACTTTTCCATCCACTTGGTGAATGGATTGTTACCCTCTTTTTGGTGAAGCTTGCCATTTCTATTTCACCCGGACAATTGGAATTTCTTGAATTGGAGTTTGTGTGTACTTTCTCTAATGGGAAGTTATTAGTTCTAATACCATCCTGTTTACTATTTCTGGTTGAGCCATTCCTGCCAAGTTTAAGATTTCGTGGCTCAATAATCTCTATTCTATGTTCATCTGATTTCTTCACGCTTTCACAATTCAATGTATGATCAGAAATGCTCTTGTTTTTTAACTGTTGTACTAGAGCTTTTTGTGTCCACCCTATGTTATCAGGGTTCTTTGCTTTTGCATCTCTTTCAAGCAGAATTTCAACAATATCAAGTTTCCCCTTATGCAGAGGCAGCACAGCAGAATGGACATCACTTTTGCCATCCTCAGGTATCGTGTTATTAACGACTAAATGAACATCATTAGTCAGTGTATGCAAATTATTCTGTGAGTCTCTGATATTTATGTGCTCTCCTTCTTGAGAAGAGAATTCTATTGTGTTACCTCCATGAAGCAGTTCATGTAGAACTAATCCATGATCTGTATGTGGATATTCAAAGCCGAATCCTTCATGCCCCTTTAATCTCTGTCGAATATAGATCAGAAATCATCAGAGGGGTATATGATTGACAAATATAGGTTATACAATTTATTCTCCATGTTTTGAGTTTAAGGCTTTGAGTACCCTAATTACCGTTAAAAGGTTATCCATTATAATCTGTGCATCTCCTGGATTTGCTTGTAAAACATTCATTAAGGATGTTTTGTTGACTCTTAAAATCTGAGAAAGTTCTGTGGTACGAACGGTGAAAGGCTGCAGTACATGATACAAAACTCCGAACTCGCCAAAAGTATCTACTGCAGTTGCCTTGCCAAGAACCACCTGAATTTTAATATTGAGATAGGAAGTTATAATCAGTTGTTTGATTGTTTAATTTGAAGAGAAAGAAACACATTCTGTTTGTTTATTATGATGACATACTTGATCATTCCCATCGTTGTAGTGAACGAAATTCTGCAATAAGTAATCATTGAAAAGATTTTTTTAGAATTAGTAGACATTCCTTAAGATTCGTGTAATGTTACTAGACTATCGATGCTTTAGTTAACTCACCACTGCTCCTGTAACCAGTATATAAAGGTCGGTTGGAGACTCATTTTGCAGTATCACATCTTCGGTCGGTGGAAAATATTCTGCTTCCATTTCTGAAACCTGTATTATTGCAGGAAGGAGAACACAGAAGGAAAAGTTAGAGAAAGAAAAACGTGAAAGAGAAATCAAGACATGTGGGGTATTATTACCAGTTGGAAAAGGAAGTCATGAGAGACTCCTTGGAAGAGGTAAACCTTTTGCATGGCAGGAAAGTACAGATGGTGTGCTATGCTTGAACGAATTGCCTTTGGAAGATCATTTAATGCTTCTTGCTGCTTCAGTCCTTCTGTTTTGAACCTTAAACATATGTGTGCCAGCATTTGATTGTGTACGCGATGTGGCAGATGATTTCTTGAAGCAAACTCCGAAGCTGCTTTGACGGTATCCCTCTGTGACCAAAATGAATCCTCTCTTATTTATAGTGGAAGAAATAAATTTCCTCTTATCTGAATGATATTTTGTTTTTGAAAAGACAAAATTAGCTTTTTGAACATTGGTTTGGATAACGCCTTTGAAGGGAATTGTTGAATGATAATAAGAGTTAAGTTAAAACCGTCGTAACAGGTGGCTGGCACAGGAAAACTGAGCAGCAGTAGAAGAAGCTTAAGATCGAAAGTACTTACAAAATTTTGGGTGCGGCTGGTCCAGTGAACTACAAGGTTAGTCATGTTGCCAATGATGTATGATGTTAAACCCAAGTTGAACAACATGTAAGCAATATCAAACAACATCTCTACAGTATTCTCTGCATGTAAGTCTCCGTATCCCGTCGTAGTAAGCGTAACAATGGACCAGTATATCGAAGTTACATATCTGTCCCAAAGACTCTCTTGTTTAAAATTCGGGAACATAGCACCTATCCAAGTTCTCTTGGAATCAGGGTACCTATCTGCAATGAGATAGTTAACGCATCCTGCACAGTGCACTGCAAACAAGGTTACCTGAAATTTTTTGAAAGTCGTAAATTCAGTTGTTGGATGTACCTTGAAGTTCTAAAGAAAGAAAGGAATTAATGAGGTTTAGTGGCTTACAGCAGTGAGCTTTGTGCACCTAACCCAGAAGTAGTTGAAGCGAATGTCCTTTTCGAGTCTGAAACAAAGCAAAGGTGTAAGTGAACAAGCACCGGCATATTCTAGTAAATAGAAGAATCGATGAAACCAGAACAATGAAGTTAAGTATGATATGCTGGCAAACCTTGCAAACAGAGAACTGACTCGTCTCAGGCGCCATAATCGCAACATGTTAAGAAGTTTGAAACCAAGCTCACTGTTATAATTCGTGAGTAGGAGGCTAATGGTCTCAAGTGGTGCTGTGGAGCAGATATCCAAAGCAAACCAGGTAGATATGTAACTGCATGTTGTGTAGAAATATGAAAGTAAGTAGTGTTTTTTAGACATTCATTTTAGTTTTTAAGGAAGAAAAGTTTTATATCGATATATGTATATCACCTGATTGCGATTTTCTTTGGATCATCAATGAGAAGATACGAATGGCTATCGTGGTGTGCAACGAAGAATGTAAGCACAATGTCAATGGCAAAAAAGCCATTGACAATGTTGTCTATAATGAATAATCCATTTTCCTTATAACTCAGAAAGGCAAACTCAAAAGGGCATATCCAAGCTGAGTATATGACTAGAACAACCAGCAACAGCTCCCAAACCCTGTAATACAATATATACGAAAACTTGAGAAGATGCAGGCACAATATTCACGAGTTATGTTATATTGTGACAATGTAAAAGGTCATCATCACCTATATTTAGGATTGAACGGATAGATTATGTATTTTCGGAGTTTAGTTTCTTGGTTTATTTGAGCGCCAAGAGACGGTAGAAGATCACTAGACAAAAAGCTGCTATGTGTATAGCTTCCCATTTCCATTTCGTCCAACCAGAACCTCTGGAAGAAGGCTTTGATACTTGAAAATGGCATGTTATGAGTTTTGAATTCGAGTCCTCGAGGCTATGAAAGAGGTATATATAGTAGTTTGGTTTCTCAATTCACTGAGGTTGAATCCTATGGACTAGGCCATATTTATAGCCATGCTTTTAACCACTGTCATGCTTTTTCCTCTGTTGCTTGCTTAAATAAAGTAATAATCATGAAGCTTATGCATCTAATCTAATGACTAATAAAGTTTATACAAGAGTGGTAAAAACGTGTAGGGAAAATCCTCCACTTTGTCTCAACAAAATAAAGCCTTTGAAGAAAAAAAGGTATATGGTAAAGTTCTGCTAGTGGCAGACACAAGATTTTCTGATATATGAAGTTGCAGACAATTTTGTATATCTAAGAGAGGCTACAATTAAGATGAAAATGGTGTTTCTTGTTCTATATAGATAAGCTCTAATGGTGGTAGTTCCATCAAGTGAAATGAAGATGGAGATTATATATATAAAAAAAAATGAAAAATGGACCCTAGTTTTGAAGGAACAGATTCAATTTGAGACATATTGGTTTGTGTTAACATTTGAAATGATAGCTAAAGATAGACCAGACAACCATAGCAGAATTAGTATGGGTTATTAGCAAGTATCACTTGTGGACCAATGAGGATTTTTTTTCAAGGGTTGTAACACACTAACACTTGTCTAAAACCCACTAACAAAAAAAATCACAATTATTAAGCTTCTGATTATCTTAATACACGTTCTTATGTTGACTAATCTCCGAAATCATTTATGTTTTTCTCTTATCAGCTACGGTGAAGATTGTTAAATCATATCTGATTCGACATATGGCTCTTAACAAGGCCGGCCGGCCGGCCGGTCATGTGGCCTACATATGATTAATTGATGTTCTATTATTTTGTGAGTTTATAATGTTCTATTACAAGGTTAAGATACAATACAATGTTTTATAATGTAATTAGGAATTTTCTTTCTATTCTATAAGTCACTCTCTTTTGCCTTGAGGCCACAAATGTTGATAAAAAGGAATTATAAATAGTTTGTCCCATGTTTGGAGAATTTGATTGAAAGGAATAAAGCTCAACAGAAAATTCTTACTTTTGATTGGAGAAATTCCAAGTCATGAAGTATTAATAAAGTTGGTATAAAATACAAAATATTGAATGAGAATTCCTTTAGATCTTTCTTGAGTTCATTTAGCATGTGAAAGATGGCCATCATCTAAGTACTGGTCCCTTATGAATATCTCACCAGAATCTTTCCAAAAGATAATTGATTGGAGAGCTAAACCCACTTGCTTGAGGTACAATTCAGAAACTCTGCAGCCAAACAGGACTTTTACTCTAGGATAGGGTAAATCCTCAAAAGCTATTTTGAATGAATCAAAGTATCTCTTGTCCGAAACCGAGGTTAATCCCTCTAATACATATTTATATACTATGAAGCATTGATACAGACACAAACACGACACTAATACATCAACATCAATAATAATTTAAAAAAATGAAATATTTAAATGTTAATATACGTGGAAGTGTCTGACACAGACCCATATATATGTCTGATATCATACATAGTGAATCTTAACTTACTTACAAATCTGTTTTTTTACTAATCATGTCACACATTGTTGGTCTCAAGAATTTCTTTTGGATAGAAAGTTGAAGATACAAATGAGCATAATTTGCATTTGAAGCAATGGGACCAGAAAGAAGACATTGTACAAATAAGTATTTAGCAAATGAATTATCTTTGATGAATTAATTGTGTGCAAAACATGAAAGTGGGGTTATAGCAAAGTAATGAATGTTTGTTTGTTATGGTGGCACCAATAGGCTGCATTAAAACCCCACCTCGTGGGAACCATGTTATGAAGTTATACCATAAAAGGTACAAACAATGTCATGTTCACATGGACTACCTAATCAAAGAGATGTTATCAAGGTTGTTTGATTAGCAAGAAATCATATCAAATCTTGTTAACATTATGTGGTTAAGGATTGAAATTCTTGAGTGTGTGTGGTTTAGTTCTGTAAAGTGATATGATACCACATGAATCATGATGGTGTTTGAAAATATAATCTGCAAAAAGTTTAGAAGATGTTGACATGCAGAGGCAAATCTCTTATCAATAATGTGTGATACTAACAGATTAATATTTCTCACCAACTTTAAAGCATATAGACTGTTTTGGTCACAAAATGTGGTTTGGATTTTTGATTAGCAGTTCCACTAGATCAATGGTGCATTGTAGTTGGGGCATTATTTTTCTCATAATTGAGAAATTTAATACATATGAGCCAAAGTTCAATTTTCTGACCACATATAAGAAACTTGAGCTGGTTACACTTAAATGACATCAGTTTCATGTGTTAAGTTGACAAGTTGTTAGAGTATTTTTCTTATTATAAAGGTTCATGTTGATATTAAGACTAGCTATCTAATGAAAGAAACAACTCAGAAAAGGTCCCGTTCAATGGGTGTTTTTTTGAAAAAGAAATCCTCCATATTGCTGACGGATTTTTCTGCCTATATTAGTTTTTCTATACACAGTCAATCCTAAATCTGAATAAAAGAAGAAGATTGTGTTAGATAGTCAATAATTAATGTAAAATTCTGTCGTATAGCTCGAGCACAATGTTAAAAGAGTAAGGGCCACTACATCGTCTTCTAAGTGTAGTGAAAAATAAACGAGGGTTCTTACATTTTTGTGAATAGGTGTGGGTAAAGAAGTTAGTTTATGAAAGTATTATTCATTTGGATCATTGAATATAGACACCCTTATTGAAAAATCTATGGAAATAGTGAACATTATGGTTAGGAGGAAGATCACAATTCACACTACTACGTAAAAGGGATACCATAACGGTTGGAAAATGAATACCACAATACATGGGGTAATTGTAAAGATCATGTTTTCCACCATGATCGCGTGACTGTGATTATAAGCGCACTACCTATCACAACAGTTACTTCAAATAACTATTGTGATATGCTTTAAAGAAAATCATTTAACAATGGATTTTCTAAACAACCGTTGTGATATATACTTTGAGTTTATTATAAATTATGTGGAATGCTTATTTCGCCAATGCTCACTAAAAATATAACCTTTTAGTCTGATCTAGAACGTTATAATATGACAACTTAAGTTATATTATAAGAACAAGTTACACGTTCAATGCTAAACAAGAATTCTTCAGCTCCTTATCTATATTTTGCTTTTTAAGTGTTAGAATTTGTTTTAATGCTCCTAGTTCTCCAATCCTCATTCCTTCACCTCTAGTTTATTTTGCAACATATTATTTACTTTGTAAACTAAATTAGAGGTGTGAGAATGGGAGGTTGAAAAACTAGAAGTATTAAACCAAGTTCTCGCTATTAAAGAACAAAATATAGATAATGGACTTAAGAATTCTTGTCTAGAATTGAACGTGTAACTTGTTTTCAAATATAAATTTATCTATCACATTATAATTTTCTAATGCAATCTAAAAAGTTATATATTCGGTAAGATGTTGGAAAAACACCCAAACCACATAAGATATAATAAACTCGTCTTAAACAAACATTAACAACAATAACAACAACATTCATCAACAACAAACTTTAAACAACATACAACTTTTATATGTAACAACAACAACATCAACTCATAAAATGTGTCAGAAATGTACTTATCCCATAATGACATCCCAAATGAAAGAAAAGAAGGATGAAGCTAAAACGAGAGAAGTAAACATGTGTTAATCCATAAATTTGCAATGCTCACATAAGTTTACAGGGCTCATTTTAGCTTCATCCTCGTTAATTTTTTTCATTCACCCATACATACCTACAAGTCAAAACAAGCATAAAGTTCAAACATTATGAAACAAGCTATTGAAACCTAAACAATAATAGATAAAAATATTTTGAAACATAAACTAGGGTGAAGACGAACCTGTATGGTAGTCATTTCCTAAGATTTGAAGAAGACGAAACCATTGCATAAGTTTGAGGTTTTAATATAAGTGAGACGAGTGACATAGATGTTAGGGTTTTATTTTGAGATAAACGAGTGAAATAAATATTAGGATTTTTTTTAGAGAGACGACTGTTATGTATTGAGCGAGAGATAGTTTCACTTATATATAAAAATGTAACATCTTTCACCACGATTGGTAAGATGAACCATGATGAAATAATTGAACTTTACACCACGGTTGACTAAAATAACTATGGTGACATACAAGGTCAAGCTCATTTTGTCATGATAAATGGAAAAATTATTGGAGCTGGAACTTGAAACTTTTCACTCCAGGTACATTTCACTATGGTTGTTAACTATGATCATAGTACATTCTCTGAAGTATAAATATTATGAAGTAATATATGTCTAGAGGCCACCAACTCTCTAATCTTGTGGAATCTTACATCAATATGCTTGATCCAAAAATGATACACCTGATTGTTTGCCAAATAGATAGCACTCTGACTATCACAATGCAACTAAATTCCTCCTTGCTCAACACCCAACTCTTTGACTAACCCTGTAAGCCATAATGCTTCCTTGACAGATTCAACTACTACCATGTATTCAGCCTCAATTATAGTCATAGCTACTATGGATTGAACTGATGATTTCCAACATATAAGCCTTCCCACAAGAGTAAATACATACCTTGCTGTAGACCTTTTATCATCCAGATCACATGTATAGTCAGAATTCACATATCCCAAAATTGATGAAACACATTGCTCCGTGCTGAACATGATACCATGATCTGCTGTACCCTTCAAGTATCTTAGGATCCACTTGATTACTTCCTAATATTGCTTCTCTAGCTTGGACATGAACTTGTCAACTTGACTAACTGCTTGTACCAAATCCAGTCCAGTGCAAACCATAACATTCATCAAACAACCAACTATATTGGCATAAGGAATATTAGACATACCTTCAACCTTTGAGTATGTCTTTGGTAATTATTTCAAAGAGAGCTTAAAATGATTCGCCAACAGAGTACTCACAGACTTTGC